TATTTTATTTGCTTATTCCACCACTACTTAGCAGTGAACTGATATTTCATAGAACTATTATAATCCAACTATCTTACTCCTGAGTGAGCCCAGAGCCCATAATTTTATACGTAAAGTACAGAACATTTTTCCTGCCATGAACATTACTTCACATTTGGCTACATTAAATTTAATTTGCTGTTTTATTGCTCATTCACTTAGTTTCATCATATCTTTCTGTAGGCCCTTGTTCTCACTGTCCTGAATACCATGGTGTCACTTACAAACTGTGTTCCCTCACTACTTGCCCCCTTTCTCAGATTGTCTATGAAAAGTTAGAACAGCACATGTCCTCACCCAGATCCCTGGAAAAAAACAAAAGGCCATCTCCTTATTGCACACTCCCAAGGTTTTCAGGACTCCTCCAGAGATCATGTGTCATAGCTAGGTGCCTTCATCAGATGAAGTTGTTGCATTTCATCATGGAGCATAGCTTTGAGGTTGAGCCATAGGCTGGTGTTCAGCCTTTGATGCAGTATTAGGTTAATACATTCATTAGAAAATTATCACCAAGGCCTTCAGCTGACATTGAAAGCTACTGCAGGATGGGGTTGACTTACAGCATCGTGAATCAAGGTGAAGGCAGATGGCTGTGCCCTGGGCCAGCTGGAACCTGCTAGGCTTCACACCTAGCTCCAGATTCAGTGAATTACCACAATTCAACCTGGAGGTGTCAGTTTGATGAGTTCCTACGTCCAGGTTTTCGTGTGGGAAGCAAAACTGGAGGTGAAATGAAGGTTTTGGAAGCTGATGCTTCCCTGTCATCCAAGTTTACCAAGAGGATGGGACCTCCTTCTTCACCTTTCCCAAAGAGAACAGCTTCACACTTTGTTGCAGCAGATCTTATTTGCTCTCGGGAGGAGAAAGCATAGAAAAACCTGTGTAGGAGATCAAAAAGACTCATCTTCAAATTCTCACTTTGATTATTTAAAGCAGAAAAGTTCAAAAAAGTTCTCTACTAGTTGGGTAGAAACACGGCCCGGCTTGCCACAGCTGAGTTGCCATCCCATTCCATGCTTGTGAGATGGCAAAGGCACTGCCCCAAATGAGCCTTCAGCCATACTTGTCATATGTGTTCATAATCCACAACTACTGAGCATTTGACTCCTTGGCTAAACCAGTGGAGGTGAGCCAGGTTCCTTTTTCTGGTGGGATCCATGACTCAGGCATGCTTTTTGCCTCATACAAGAATACTCTGCCTGTTGTTCTCCCCAGACTCCTCAGCTCCCATTTTTGCAAGCTGGGCTGGCCCAAACATAGTATCCTGGGACTAATTAGGCTATAATTTTCTCTTTAATCCTTTCTTTTCAACTGTTGGCTTTACTCACTATACTCTCTGTTCTGTTTTTACACCCCTGACTTTGTAAGCCAGCCCTTGCAAGGTGACTTTTACCTACCATCACTGACCACCTTCACCCCCGAAACTCCCTTAAGAAAACAATTCTGGGACCCAGTGTGTCCCCAGATAACATTTCAGTTTTTGAAAAACAGCATATTTGCTGAAATCTCTTTTTGGCAAAAATGTTCCAACAGGCTCCACTTTTCAGCTCTATTCTGATATCTTATTCCCAAATGGTAGAATAAAACTAGGAAGGAAGTGAGGGGAAAATGTGGGTGTAGAGGAACATCCTGTTCTGCACAAATACCCTGGTGTGTTGTCAGATGGATGCTCTGCTTTAAATAGAAGAGGTCTCATGATGCAAAGGCCAAAACAATAAATTCTCAGGAATTAGAAAAGATGGAAATAATTATTTAATAGAGAAAGTGTCTGGACTTACTGCATTAAAGAATCACCCATGTTAGGTCTTCTCACTATCACATGCGATTTCATTTTTGTGTGTACCTCTAATGCACACACATATATGTACAAAGGGTTTGGGAATAATCCCTGGGGAACTCAGTGAAATTCTGTTTCTTGTTTATCGTAGTTGAGAGGCTATTTCCATAAAAGAGGTCATCTAGGGTAAGCAATGTTGAAGTGAGATTTATAAGAGAACCAATAGGATAGATTTAGAGGTCCTCAAGCTTTGATGTGTTTGAAGTAGTTCTGCTTAGATCAGATTTTGTGACTCTGATTTCTGCTATCCACTTTTTTCAAGGGATTGAGTGAAACAACTTTCTGCACTCTGGTGACCTCTTTTCTTTACCTTCAGTATTTTTTTACCACAGCCACAGCAACTGCTTCAGTTATCACTAGAGCAAGGAGACAAATTTTTTTCTCAGCTTCTGCACATTTTCTATATTTTAGAACTTTTCCCATTGTGCTTTGCTTTGAATATGAATTTTTTAGTGAATTTAAAAGAAAAAATAAATAGAAAGAGAGCTACCCTTGGATACAAAATGCCCTGCAGTGTAGGAGTTAGGAAAAATCCACAGTACTTACTTCAGCAAAGCAACTTTTTACATCAACAGCATTTCCCCCAAACTTCTGACCATCTCTAGGGACAGTTAATATTGATCAGTAGGAGAATTGCTAAGCTGAATATTTCAAGAGCCTAAGAGCTGGTATATCTCATTTCTTCGCTGTTTATTGTTGTGATAATGGAAGACCGGGCCATGTAAAGCTGAACCTGGGTGAGAAATCATGAACCCATTCATCCTTCTTCCCGTCACCAGTGGAGCACATGATGGTTTTGGTGCCAGGTGTTTCCTTAGCAGGAGTCAGGGAAACCATTATGTGTTCCCTTAAGCCATTTTCTTGTGCCTGACACTATTTTCCCCATCAGTTTTGAATTAATCTTGAAATTCATCTTTGTGAAGACAAAAATGAGCCTGTGTTGGAGTCAAAGAATCTGTCACATGGACACTGCATTCTGACCCTGGAAGATGTCTCTTGTTGTTTATCTCTGTGGTCAATACAATGCAGATACAAGGACAGTCAAGGGGCACAAGTGACATGGTTGCCCTGTGCTATTGCACAGAGGGATCCTAAAGAAAAGGATCTTTAATTTCATATTTCAGTATTTAACACATAGTCTTTGTGCAATAAATGGAGTGGGGAGGGGAGGAGTGATCACATGTTTGGTTCCAGCAAAGTTCTTGTTGTGGTCAGACTGGTAGGACAGTAGTATCAGTTAGAGACAGACAAATGCATGATTCAATCCTGGTGGACTTCTGTTGGCTCGTACTGACACAGCCTGGCCACTGGTTGGTGTGGATCAGAGACAGGGACCTGCCAAAGGACAGTCATGTGTCCTTGTACCCAGCCTGCTCTCACAGAAACCGTAGCTTCCTGGGATCTCTGAATTTCCACACATGTCAGAGGAGATGAAGGCTTAGCAGCAGTCAGGTCTTCTTCTGCAAATACATCCTAGAGAAAAGCACGTGAAACCCTGTCTTCAGTGAAACCCACATGGCCCCATGCAGCAGCAAGCAATGCTTGCCAGCTCACTCATCAACGTACTGCATTATGGTGCCCTGAGTTTTGAGTACCTTCAATGCAATACCCTCCAAATATATTTCTTTGTGTCTCGTTCCATGCTCATTAAAACACCCCTCCACTCATACTGGCTAAGATAGACACTTTGTCAAAGCTTTAATGAAAGGGCAGCATGTGGATGATGAACAGGCTTTCTCTGCAGTAGACAAGCTTCCCGTGCTGGGTGTATTTCTGGATCAGCTAACTTATTATTTGATGCAGGGCCTTGTGTGAATGAGAGTTGGTCCATCCAGAAAATGAATTATATGCCCTTATTTGCTATTGAAACTATCCATCATATCATGTCCCAAATGGTCTATCATGTTGTTGTCTAGTAAAACTCAGCCATCAGAGGCAGCTGCTGTTCAGATGCTGATGCTAGATGTCTGAAAATGTGATTTTAGCTATAACTCTGAGGACATTTAGTTGGAATTTATGACTAGAGGTCCCTCTAAGCTCCATCAACTCTATCCATCTCCCACCTTTATAAATAATACTGGTCTTCAGTTTCTGAATCCTTTAGGGCAGCATTGTGTTTTTTTTTCTAGTGTCTGGAATACATCACATGCAAGATTTCACTCTGAGATTTCAAACTGTGTGGGTACATATAAAATAAATAAAAACAAGTTTGGCTGAGTAATGTGAACATCATGGAAGGCAATTTGGTGAACTTGGCACTGTCCAGGATACAGGAGGCTGTGGCATTGCTCCTGGCCATACCAAGACCTCCAGTATTTCTCCTTTTTGTGCCTCAGTTTCCTTTCTATTTCATTCCCAGCTAACATTAACAAAAATTCTTGAAGGATCCCCACTCGGTTTAGCTTCAGTTGGATCAGCTCCATTAGTACCTTACTACTACATGTGGTACTGTGAGAGCTACACACAAAGAGTGTTAAGCAAACAGAAATTTCACCTTTTCTCCATTGACTTAAGTAAGAGCAGATGTGCAGAGGAACAGCAAATGCTAGGCTCATGCTTTAAACTTTTCATAAATACAGTAAAAGGAAGGGTCTAGCCCTGAGAAGTGCTTATCTTCCTGGACAGGGATGCTGCAGAGCTGAAGGGGTTGAGCAGTGGGAGGACATTTCAGAGGGGGTGCCAGGGCGTTTGCAGAGTCAAACACCACAGGATTATTTGAGGTTATTCCCCTTCATACATAACCTCAGCAATCACCACTGTAGTCCAATGCCTTGGGGAGTGGGTAAGGGAATCTATTAATACTCTTAGGAAAAAATTAGTATCCAAACAACTTTTGTTTCCTTGTTTTTTACACGTCTGTGCTCTCCTCTGTCACTTGCTACAGTGCAGAGCCTGGTATGTTCTGACAAAGAGCTATTGATGGTATGCTTGTGTGAATTGGCCCAGCACTGGTCACAGCCAACTTCTGTGGGACCTGCTGCCCCTGTTTTACAATACACTCCAGTGTGCTGAGCCATTTGTGAAAGGTCAGAAATGAACAGAGAAATGGACTGGAGTCAAAAACAAGTAGTCCTATAAATATCAGTCATAGTCAAAGGCAGTTTATTCCATTCCTCCCCTTTCTCTCCCTCTGTGTGTGTCTCTTTCTCCCTCTGTTGTGGTTTCCCAGATACAACTCCATGTTTCTGACTGGGAAGCTCTGAAAGGAAAGCAGAACGCACATTGCAGCTTCTGCTCCCATCTTGCACACATGGAATAATCCTCAGTCCTGCAAGCAGGACTGACAGCCGGCACAGAGTCCAGGCATCATCTGGACTCAGATGTGAAGTTTTGATTTCTCGGATTTTCTTTATCTGTGAGAAGCTCATTTGCTACAGTTTGAGAACTAGCTCTGGCCACAGACAGTTTGGATTGGGACTCCTGAGGGCTCTTCTCTGTCTGGAGCTAACATTTGACTTCAGAATGACATTAGCAGCTAAATTAGAGGATATTGAAGTGACGCTGGAGCACCTACTAATGGATGTGTTCGTAAGTATGCTACAGTTTCCTATTTAAAGTGAGATGCTGATAATCCAGAAGGCAGCATACAAATTTAACGGTGTATCCAGGTGTTGTATTGACTTAATTCTTTTACATTTCCCAATAAGCACTACCAATGTGTTGTGGTATAGCTAAGGCATCTACTGCAAGTGGTAACAAGCAAAAACTGGAACAGTGTGACTGCAAGGAAAGACATATTCAGCATTGGTTTTGTGTATCATCTACAGTTTTGATGAAGTATGTGAAAATGTGGAGATATTTTGTCCATTTGAGGAATATCTCTGTAAAAGAAGTGCATGACAGAGCATTTAAAATGTGTATTGCTTAGCATCGAGTGTCCTTGGCTTTAGGATTTTGACAGCTATTAGATTACAGTCCTTTACTACTTTGACTTTTGGGTTAGTTTTGTAGTAGATGAAGGAAAAAGCAAAAGTAGTCATGTTTTCAAGAAAATGAAGTTTATTCTTCCTGGATATATCAAACACTTTAAACCAGTGTTAATCTGGAATTGCTTCTTTGAAATCATCAAAGCTCGGTGAAGCAATGTATAACTTGCTCCTGTACATCCAAGATAAGAATCTGTCTGTATCATCTCTTTTTAAAGGTTTTTTCTTAAAATATCAAAACATTTCAAAATAGATTCCTTCTTTTTCCAATACAACTTGAAGGTTTTTGCCTGAAGGTCAGAGATAACCATGGTTTGGATAATTTTGGGGGTGTGGGGGACAAACAATGATGAGGGATTGCCAGATCTATCTTCTTCAAAAAAACAGTCATGTCAAGGTGATCTGTACTCTCTGAATTCAAATTATAAGAAATAAGATGGCAAATTACATTCTGAATTTTCAGAAGAGTTTTTTGGCATCTCTTAAATGAAATGCTTCAAATTTCAGGGAGGAATCTTAGTCATCAACTACAAAAGTGGAAAACAGGAGAGTTTGCCAGCTTTCTAACCTGTGGTCCAGTTACTAAGCTGTGCTGTGAAATGGATTCAAGCCTCTCCAGGCTGGTATCTCCCCTCAGTGCCTTGGGGAGTGCCCTGTCCCCTTTCCCACTGGCTGCAGAGATAGGTGGTAGAGGAAAATAATTGGAGGCTGCCCTGTCAAAGCCTCTATGTAGGGTATGAAATACTGAAATACTCCTTGGGCTATAGGATTTGAATCAACTTGAATCAATGATTATTTGACACTATCGGTTTAACTCCTTTCCCCAGCAATGACTACTGTGCATTCCAGAGAAAATCTCTAAGGGTTTAAACCCCCCATGACAAGCAAAGATGTAACATCTGCATCTCATGACCACAGCACACTGTGAAAGTTACTCTGTGTGGGAAGGGGCCAGTGCTTTCTTTGCTATTTGCAGTTGCTGTAGAATAAACTTGGCACCATGATCCCTCTTGGTCTATTTGTAGCTCAGCATCTCTTCATCAAGCTGGGCATTTGACACTTGGGAGACTGAGAGCCTTCATGGGTCAGGTATCATTGAACAGTGGGTGCTTAAAGGTGTTTTGGTGCAGAATAACTCCAAGCACTACCTCGGACACTACCAAGATCAAGACAGCCAGGATTGACTGAGTTGATTAAGGCTGAACAATCCTACACATGCCTGATTGTGTTTGAAGGGCATGAAAAACCTGCTGCCCTGCTGGGAACCATCCTGCCCGGTAAGATAGGACACAGAGAATCATTTCTTCTTGGCTCTTCATGTCCCACCATGAGCACTGTTTTGAAGCTGTGTCTAGGCTTTGTCTATTCTTATGTCCACCCTTTGCTTCCATCCAAGTGTCTTTCCTCATGGGTTTTTGTGTTTGGTTTGGGGTTTTTTGTTTGCAATTAGGGTGACAGTAAACCAAATAAAATACAGGCCAAATTCTCCAGAGGTGCAGGTGGCCTCAGTTCATGAAAACAATGGAGCTCCTCTCAGGTTGTGTTTTAAACTGGTACCTCAAATGTGTAATTCCAGACACCCAGTGAAACGTCCCCAGCTGGGACCCTGCAGTTACAGCTGAAATTGTGATGCAGGGACATGTCTATGCGGTGCCATGCCGTGCCATGTCGCAGCCCCAGCTGGCTCTGGAAGAGCCGATGTGTCTGTGCAGCATTGTGCAGGGGCACACTGCAGTAGTGCCACCACTTCGCCCCCTTTGTCCCTGTGCAGAGACTGGGGCTGTAAGACTCAGGGGTAGCATGTCCAGGCTTCATGTCTCACTTTGACAAGCAGGACTGTAAATCTAATCTAGCCTCTATGCAAATCAAGGAAATAAATTCTCCCTGATGAGCAACCATGTTTTCAGCTAGCTGGGCTCTTCTAAAAACTACCTAGGAATTATGGTAGGAAGAATTCAGATAATCTAGACCAAATATTCCAAATGCAGAATCATTTTGTCTGACACTATCAGGCACAATTTTCAGACTTTACTCACACATCACCTTGCCTTACAGCTACGTTTGATCTTAAACCACCTGTCCATTGAGCAATGCTAAAAATAATCTCTACTACTGGATACAGAAGAGTAAATATGAAACTCAGTATGAAGAAAGGGCAAAACATAAAGCTCTGACTGTTATAGATCATTCTAGCAGCCAGGTTTGTCCAAAGTCATTAATATGTTACCAAGAGTTTTGCTGTTACCAGCAAGACTAGTACTTGAGTAAGGAGCACAGAGCCAGACCAGGGGGGCTGAATGGGCTGCCAGTGGGTGGACTGCCAGGTAACAGGACCCTCTGGGGAATGATCTTGAAGTCTGCTCTGTGCCATGCATCTTCATCTGTGTCAGGTTTATTGCAGAAAGAGTGAAGCCATCTGTCTCCATAATGCTCCTCTTCCAATTCTTCAGTGCCCTCCACCGCTCCAAACCAGGCAATTATTTACAAAATTGGGAAACTGTGGACTATGGAGCCTTGCCTTGTCTTTTTTTTTTTCCTTTGAAGAAATCTAGTTTTAATGCTCGTTGGACCGTAGGGGCAGTAACCCATTCCCAGGTCAGTGGATCCTGTCAAAGCCCACTTTAACAGCTCATACCAAACTAGCAAACTCATTTTGTCCCAGTATAGAAAGATTATAGTAGACAGCAAATGAGAAGTAAGCACTGGTTTCTAAAGAAAATTGAGCCCTAGCTCAGCTCAGATTAACCCACCTCGATGTAATTTGGCTTCTGCAGAAATACAGTCTGAAGAAAGACTATAGGATTGGGCCATTTTTTCTCTGGACAAGGTTTTTGGCTAAGTTGTCCTGCAGGAGCTCACCTGGAGTGAGTTCAGCAGAGTTGCACAGGGAGGATGGCAAGCCTTGGCAGCAGACATGTTTAGCACTTCCTCTGGAAAGCTAATATTACACAGGAACACCTTTCAATTTTTATTTATTTATTTATTTGTTTATTTAATTGGCAGAGACTAGAGATTTACATCCACATGGCATGAACTGCCACTTCCTTCCAGGACATAGTGTACTTGCCACATTGTCATCCTGCTCTCGGAGAAGCAGCTGTTGCTGCACTGAAACTTCCTTTCCCCTATTACCAAAGGGCACTGGAGCGCTTTGCTGGGCTCTGCAAAGCAAGATAAAAGGGAAGCCTCCAACATGACATTTCATAATTAGCTGTCATCACCGGCGGGCTGCCACCGAGCTGTTTGATGAGCTGGGACTTGGCTGCCTGGAGAAACACGGACAGAGAGGCAGGGGCCAAAGTAGGGAGGCAGTGCAGGGATAAACTCAGCAGGTCCCTTGGGTGTGCTAAGGGGAAAAGGAAGTCGGGGTAAGAAATACAGGCTCTGAATCTTTGCTTCAGTGCTTGCAAAAGGCATCTCTGAGCCAAATCCTCTTTGCTTCTGGACACTCTAATTATTCTTGTGCAGTCTGAGAAAGGAGACCTTTGAGGTACACCTCGGGACCAGCCTTGCTGACTTCTAAGCCTTGCCTTAGGCACAGCTAGAGCAAGCCTCCGTGATATGGCATGCCCAGCATGCCTGGGGCACTTTGTATGGGATGTCTGGGAGGGCTCAGGAGTGAGGTGGGTTGTGGAGCCTGCTCTGCCAAGGGATGTTTTTTCTTACATTATGGATGTGGTTTTAGACCTGGAAGAAAGAGACTCTTAATCAAGCAGGCAAATGGTTAATAATCCTGTTGGAAAAGTGAGCCTGAAGTAGTCAAACATCAGCTGGCCTCAGAAATGAGATTGATTTCTGATGGCAGGCGTGATGGAGCTGTAGTGGATGTCCCAGGAGAGAAAGAGAGACTTAGATGAAGTTTTCAAACCATGAACGCTGCATCCCTGGTCCACTCCAAATACCACCTGGGAAATGACAATTTATCTCCAGTGGTTCATGGGACCTTATACATCATCCAAACACAACCAATACTGCCAAATCCACAGTACACTCCATAGCTCCATCTACATTCTTGCAGACATCTATTTCCACAGCTGGCTCCTCTGCCCTCCTCCCACCACACTCCACAGATAAATATATATATATGTGTGTGTGTGTATATATATAAAAGTATGGAGTTTATATGTATATTTTAAAATATGGTGTATATATATAGTTGACTATCTGATGGAAGTGACATTCATGAGGACTTTCTGCCATAGGCTGTTGTTGTTTTGCCCTGGGTGGATGTAACAATCCAGATTTGCTACGCTCCAGCCTCCTTCATCACCCTGAGAAACAGCTGCTCTTCCCCCTCCCCACGCTGTCAAGTCCTGGCAGAGTTGATACCAAAATAGCAGGGACATGAAACTTAATCTCTGTTTCTAATACCATAACAGTCAGAGGAAATTACCTGGGATGCTGCAAGTATTCCGTCTCATTCTTCTGCCAACTAGTGATGAACAGGAATTAAGGTCTGAGTCAAAATCCTGTATCCAGCCAGACATAAAGCTGGATATTCAAAGGAGAAGGAATTAATCCAAAGTGAGTGTCAGGTCCCTTGGCCAGAGGTGCCAAAGGAGGCAGGGCTCCCTGGTGGACTTTGGCAATGGGGATGGCACC